CCTCCCTCCTTCTCTCTCTCTCTGTCTCTCTTTCTTTTCTTTCTTTCTTTACTTTCTTGTCCAAATTTACTTCTATTTAAAAATGCTCAAGAGACTTTAAAAAGGCCCCAAAGCCCAGAAGCATCCAGGTTTAATTTAAGATCATCCTGAGTTGGTGTCTGTCCATTTCTCCTTTTAGTATGAGGCATCAATTTGATCCTTGTTAATGAGACACCTCAATAATTTTAGTTGGATCGTGACGATTTCTTGTGACTCCCAGTATCTGTCATAAATGGCCATCAGTTTATGAACGATGAGAAATATAATACCAGAAATAATCACGAGACGTCTGCAGATTCTACTTGAACATCCTTTCTGCATTTTTCTTTGCAACCAGGCCCAGTGATTATCAGTTTGAGTAGTGGAGACCATGATGAGTGTCACTTTCAACTACTGGTATTAAATGCAGCTCTTATAGAACAGAAACCAGCAACACCCTTCAAGATGAAACACCGTATCTATTTCTTAATAAAAATAAAATACATAAGAAAAACTAAAATGTTATATTTTTTAACTTTTTGTTTTTGAACTTCTTTTACTTTTCAAGTAAGTTGTTATTTTGAAAGTATATCTGAATTACAGGTGATTCTCCTTAAAAGCCATTGTTCTTATGTTTATCTTTTTGAAATGCACATGAATCTCTCCTAGTTAAAAACAAAACGAAACATATGCTTAAATCTGTTGCTTCCTACAAAATGTTTATCAATCGAATGGAACAATGCTACTCAAAATATGAATTTTATTTCTTTACCACTCACCTGTTTAACCAGTGCCTAAAAGGCTTTCAGTAGTGATCTTTGAGCCTTTCTTATTCCTCACACTTTTGACCTACATTGCATTTGACACTGCTCTTTTTTTTGTAAACTACTTTTGTCCCTTATCTTTCTTATAGTCATGGTTTTTTATTTTACCTACTAGAGGCCGGGTGCACAAAAATTTGTGCACTCGGGGGGGTCCCTCAGCCCGGCCTGTGCCCTCTCGCAGTCTGGGACCCCTCGGGGGATGACCACCTGCTGGCTTAGGCCCGCTCCCCAGGGGATCGGGCCTAAGCTGGCAGTCAGACATCCCTCTGGCAGCCCAGGAGCCCTCGGGGGATGTCCACATGCCAGCAGGGAGCAGGCCTAAGCTGCATTCGGACATCCTTAGCGCTGCTAAGGAGGTGGGAGAGGCTCCCGCCACCACCACTGTGCTGGCAGCCATCAGCCTGGCTTGTGGCTGAGCAGAGCTCCCCCTGTGGGAGCGCACTGACCACCAGGGGGCAGCTCCTGCATTGAGCGTCTGCCCCCTGGTGGTCAGTGTGTGTCATAGTGACCAGTCATTCCCAGTCGTTCTCCTGTTAGGCTCAATTTGCATATTACCCTTTTATTATATAGGATTTCTTCTTTGATCATGTTATCTCACTTTCCTTCTTTAACCTCTTCCCTTCCCTTCTCTTTGTTTCAGGTTTCATCCTGCTGCTGATTCTCCACACATCTTCCTTCTTGGAATATTTGCCATTGTTTTAGCTATTCCGTGTGTTGATGATTCCCAAATCCTTCACTCTAGCCTTAACCATTGCCCCCTAAATAACTGCCTGTGGAATATTTCTGTTTGACTCACCCATCATCCTCTCTTAAACTAAAGTCATTGATTTTTGTTCCTCACTAAGCTGTTGCTTTTCAACTTTTTTATTAGTGATACCACATTTTTCATAGCCACCTTGGTTTAAATCTCCAGTTTATTTTTGACACTTTCCTATCTCCTCCTCCTCTCCATCCCCCTCTGGAACCTAGATGGCCCATGCCATCCACCTGCACATCTTTGTGAGATTAATATTCCTAATCTTACTTTTTTCTAGACATATCTCTATTTAAAGATCTCAGTAGCTTTTTATGAGTAGGGTAAATTCTATTGCAGTCTATTCCAAATTACTTTTCTAGACTTATCTCTGACCATCCTATATATAAAAAGCCTGTGGTCGTCACGCTGTAATGACCAATCACCAGGAAGCTGTGTGCGCAGCAGGCACACGCAGTTGGGCGAGGCTGCATGCGCGGCGAGGCACGTGGGTGGGCGGGGACTTGACTTTGGAGGACTTGACCAGAGGTGCGTGTGGGTTTCTGGGTCCCGCTGGCGTGGCAGGCGGGTTTCTGGGTCCTGCTGAGCCGCAGGACTCTGGATCCTGGGTCTCATGCGATTTTGTGCTCTGGGTCACTAGTCTATGTATATAAAAGCCTAAGCAACCATTCGACTGGTAGATATGACGCCCACTGACCACCAGGGGTCAGACGCTCAACGCACAAGCATGGAAACATGGAAAAGACTGATGAGTCTCAGAGGGGCCGAGGGAGGGCAGGAAGAGATTAACCAAAGATCTTGTATGCATACTAGAGGCCTGGTGCACAGATCCGTTCACCAGTGGGGTCCCTTGGCCTGGCCTGTGCCCTTTCGCAATCCGGGACCCCTGGAGGGATATTGGTGAGCTGGTTTTGGCCCAATCCCTGCAGGCCAGGCTGAGGGACCCCACCAGTGCATGGGCCTCTAGTTCTTCCATAAGATCTCACTGCTTAACTGTAATAGAGATAATATCCTGTGCAGTTCCCTCAAACACTCCTTATATTTGTTTTCCTTCCTTTTGCCATGGATGATGTCATTTCCCTTTCCTGAAGTGCCCTGCTAGCTTTTCGTTTTAACCTTTTTATTGTTGAAATACAACACTTAGAGAAAAGTACATAAAACACAAGTGTACTGCTTAATGGATTACTATAAAGCTAGCACCACCCAAGTCAAGAAGTAGAACATTGCCAGGATCCAAAAGCTCCTCTTCACCCCAGCACTTGCCTCACTGTTTCTTTCCCCTCTGTGCTTGTTATTTTGTTTGTTTGTTTTGATTCATTTAATGTAAATGGAACCCTATAGTTTTTTTTTTCTGACTTCTTTTATCCAACATTGTACGAGTCATCTTTGTTGTTGCAGTAGTTCAAATATACTTACTGCTGTGTAGTATTCCATTGTATGAATTGCTCTGTCTATAGCAATGTTGCAAATTTTTGTCAGGTTCTAATCTTACAGAAAACCTATCTTTAATAACAATAGCACAACTATCATTTATTGTGTATTTACTATATCTGAGGCATTATATTAAGCAGTGTGAAAGATCTCAGATTTTGGTGCAGAACTGTCTGCTTTTTCTGGCTCTGCTGCCTACTAGCTATGGGATCTTGGGCATAATTCTTAACCTATGTGTAGCTCAGGTTTTCCATCTGCAAAATAGAGATAATAGTAATATTCACTTATAGAGTTATGAGGGGTGAGTGAATTATTATATATAACACATATAGAACAAAGCTTGTCACATAATAAGCTCTAGGTATATGTTTATTATTGTATGTCTATATCATTTATTCCCTAGTAACTTCCTGAGGTGAGTGCTAATATTATCTGTTTTACAGTTGATAGACTTAGAGAATTGAGTCATGTGTCCATGATTACAAAGCTAGGAAGTGATCCAGCTTTCTACAGATGTATATATTGACAAATGTACACGCCTTAATTGAAAGAAAGTTTTCCCAATATTTTATCCTTACTACATGTGATTTACTTTGATATTTTCTGTTTTTTTCAAAAATACTAGTCATGATACGCTGGGTTATGACTTGTAATTTGGAAAGCCCTACACATACCATTTTATTCATTTACTAGAGGCTCAGTGCACGAAATGCGCACGGGTGGGGTCCCTAGTGGCTGCTGGCTGGGGCCTCCCTTCCCCAGCTGCCAGCTGACGGCCTGGACCTTCCTTCATTCCATGCTACCCCCTGGTGGTTAGCGCACATCATAGCGAGTGAGCGAACTTCTGGTCGGTCGAACTCCCAAGGGGACACCTTGCATATTAGGCTTTTATATATATAGATTGTCCATTCACTCAACAAAATGAAATGAGCATTTTCTCTGTAGCAATCATGGTCTCAGAAGTTGCTGTTAATAATCTCTTTGAGACTTAACCTGTAATGTAACCTTGGTTAGTTATAACTAAGGAGTCCTTCCACTTTTATAAAACAAGAACTTAAGAATTGTAAAATTCTGGTCAGATTGGTGACCAGATTTGTTTATAAATATTTTTGTTCTCATTTACTTATTATTCCTGCTAAATAATGTAGAGATGGAACTTCCATTATTTTGAGCAGCTGTATGTCAGGGATGCTCTGGAAAGATGTTGCTAGGGCTCTGGACCTGGTTCAGGTTGTTATTAATCTTCTAGGCCAACCATATCAACTGCCTTATTCATCGTTTTCATTATTTCTTTGGATTTGACGTTTTTGCCTCTGAAAAAACGTCATAGAGACTCCAACCTCTGAAAAAACATCATAGAGACTCTAACCAAGTTCTGCATCTGCCCTTACTTATCTCAGCAGGAGTGTTAAAATTAGAAGGAATGAAATTTAATATGATAGTTCCTGCACTAGAATAATTTCTGATTTTTAAAAAATTCTAAAGCTTGTTCCTAAGATTTAGAAGACTATAGCAAAGGGTAAACGTGATGAGCTGTGGCTGAAAAAGCTAAAAGAGAGGGAGGAGTCAAGGATTTCTCCATGTTCTGAATTGGATATTAGTCCAAGTGATGATGAAAACGAGGGAGAGGAGCACGAGTTCTTTTTTCTGATCGGCGCTATTTGTGGTATCTGCAGGTAGATGCAGGGATCTGTTCCTAGGACAAGGGTTCTAAAGATGCCCATCTGTCAGTTATCCTGGAGACGGTAATGTTCTTGATCTATCCTGAGCAGCGTTGTTTGTTTTAGAACGGCAGGCTTAAAGCCATTATTCCCACTGTATTCTAACTTGAATATGTTCAGTTTCTGTTCCAGATGATCGGGCTGAACAACGAACCTGTCTCATTTGTGGGGACCGCGCCACAGGCTTGCACTATGGAATCATCTCCTGTGAGGGCTGCAAAGGGTTTTTCAAGCGGAGCATTTGCAACAAGCGGGTATATCGGTGCAGCCGTGACAAGAACTGTGTCATGTCTCGGAAGCAGAGGAACAGGTGCCAGTACTGCCGCCTGCTCAAATGCCTCCAGATGGGGATGAACCGGAAGGGTGAGTGGTGCTTGTGGCTCTACTATCCACCCTTCATCCATCACTTTACCTTTAGTGTCAGCTTTAAGCCTTGGAGTTATTCATTTCCAAGCCTGCACTATATGCCAGGCCCTATACTGTGTACTCATAACCCAAAAATGAATCTGACACTGTTCCTGCCTACAGGGACCTCCCAGACTATGTGGGGATAAAGACTCGTGAGACGTTAAGGATTCTGTGAGAATGAATGCACAGGCTCCATGTGGCAAGACCCCAGTTAACAATCAAGTGCTAACTAGGGTATATATTGCTCCACTAGTTCTCCTGGCAGGGTGTGATGACAGGAAGCGGGATTTTTGATGAAAGATAAGAAGGTAGTGAGTCCTCTGAATGTGATATCATTTTGTTTGTTAGAATCATGGCAAACTCAGAGGCTAGGTATGCTCAGGAGTCTGTGACCATGTTGGTGAAGAATCTGGGATTTGTTGGGAAGCTTTCTAAGAGTCATTGGCCGGAGATGACCAAAATTAATGGGTATTGTAAGAGGATTTATCCAGAGGGCAGCTTTGAAGAATGGATTGGGGTGGGGGATGAAGAAAAGTCACCTTGAAAGTTTTTAGAGAGTGAAAAGAAAGGTATGAAGGACTTGGGGGGCGGGGGGGAATGTGGGAGAAGCTCATCTGGTAGGAGCTAGTGACATACTGGCTATTAGGCAGCAGCAAAAGTTGAAGTTGAAGATTTGGATTAATAGACTGACCCTCCTGCCTGGCCAGAGTAACTCAGTAGTTGAGTGTTGACCTATAAACTAGGAGGTCATGGTTCCATTCCTGGTCAGGGCACATGCTCAGTTTGCCGGCTCGATCCCCAGTAGCGGGAGTGCAGGAAGCAGCTGGTCAATGATTTTCTCTCATTGATGTTTCTATCTCTCCCTCTCCCTTCTCTGAAATCAATAAAAATATATTTTAAAAAAATAGTACTGACCCTCCCAGGAAAAAAAGTCAGGCTAAAAAAGCAAGGTGGGGCAAAATGTTGGCCTTGATAATGCTGGGTTTGAGGTACCCGAGAAGGACACATACAGATGTCCACCAAGGAAATTGGACATCTAGAATTGGAACTGAGGTGAAAAGCCCTGCCTGCAAGATGGAGTTGTTGGCATAGAAGTGGGAAGACTTTGTTAGTGGGTAGAAATCACCCAAAGAGAACTTGGATACAGAAGAGGGCCAGTGTCCCAACTGTAGGATGTTTTCATGGATGGTGGAGAGGAGTAGTTCAGTGGAAAGAATGGAGGCTCTGGAGGCAGAGGGTGGAGACAGACTAGCTCTGTGACCTTGGGCAGTTAGTTTGTTTTTTATCTCTGATGCTCAGTTATCTTACCTGTAATATGGTCTGATAATACTTAATCTTTCAGAGTTCTGTAGAGAATGAATGTGACAATGTATAAAAAGTACCCAGCAAGGTGTTAGGGATTCATTAGTATGCAGGGGTGGGGGTTAGTTAGTCTGACTTCGTGAACTGGTCAAATTGATCTATAGCAGTGACCCTTCCTAATGCCGCGACCCTTTAATACAGTTCCTCGTGTTGCGGTGACCCCCAATTTCATTGTTACAAATTGAACATAATGAAAGCATAGTGATTAATCACAAAAACAATATGTAATTATGTATGTTTTCCGATGGTCTTAGGCGACCCCTGTGAAAGGGTCGTTCGACCCCCAAAGGGGTCGTGACCCACAGGTTGAGAACCGCTGATCTATAGCATTAATGAGTGCAGGCATCCAGATTGGTTTTTTGTGGGTTTTTTGTTTTTTGTTGTTGTTAATCCTCACCTGAGGATATTTTTTCCATTGCTTTTCAGAGAGAGTACAAGGGAGGGGGGGAGAGAGAGAGAGAGAGAGAAGAGAGAGCAACATCGATGTGCAACACATGACTGGTTGCCTCCCACACATGCCCAGATGGGGCAGGGAGTGAACCAGCAACAAGGAATCTAACCTGCAACCATTTGGTGCCTAGGCCAGCGCTTTGACCATTGAGCAACACTGGCCAGAGCCAGATTGCTTTTTTTTTATTGTGTGTGGGGTAAGAAGAACCTTTTGAAAATTTGGCCATCATGAAAAAAGGTAAAAGATATAGAAGAAGGTCATTGAGATAAATTTAAATCATTTATTTATAATACTAATATTTATGAGCACTGTGTACCAGAAACTCTTCTGCACTTTCTATGTATTATCTCATACACACAAGCAACCCTCTTATTAACTATTACCCTCAATTTACAGGTGCAGCTTAGGAAGGTAAAATGATTTACCCCAGATATTAGTTTAGTGGTGGTGTCAATGTAAGAATGGCCAAATCTGTAGAGAATTTTCAGAAAAATTTATTTGAGCCAGAAAGAGAATATACCTGGAAGCAGGTATATCAGACTGAGAGAGGTCAATGCTTTGGAGAACAACAGTTTGCTGTTTCTTTTACGCATTTTGAGATTGAGAAGGGAATGTAAGGAAGATTACAAGGCAGTTAAGATTATGCGCTGTCTTCAGGGTGGTCATGTGGATTAGATTACAGGGTAGTTAAGATTATGTGCTCTCTTGAGGGTAGTTTATTTCAAAGGTGTGGTAACCTAGATGCACAGAAACAATGGACAGGGCTTGCTTAAGGCAAAGATAAATCTTTTACTAAAGAAGTAATATGCTTGGGACGTGACTACCCACCATGACCTTCCCAGTTAGGAATTTATGATCAGATCACCTTGTGAGGTTACTTTCCATAGAATCCCTTCTTTTGTCCACACTAGCCACCAATATCAAACAAGAAATGTCTTGAAGAGAGTTTGTGGTCATCTACCCACCTTTGCCTGATTTGGTGGTGGTCTCCAATTTTTTTTTTTTATCTCCCTTTGTTACCCTCACACCCTAACTGTGAAAAAAAATTTTTTTTGTTTGATTTTTGGTGGGGTTTTGTTTGTTTCACTGTGAAGATTTTATCAAAGCATATTTGTGGGTTGCCTTCTTGACTAAGATGAATCATCCGGCTTTTCAGTTGGCGTGTGAGATTCTGAGGCTTCCAGCCAAACTCACCTGTTTTAGAAAAGAAGGAGCTTAACCTCTTAACCTTTGTAACTGTAGCCGTAGCCAGATGACTGGAGGGATGGGAGGGATAGGAGGGATGGGAGCTGCCTGCCAGGCCCATTCGCTTGCTGAGCAAGCAGGCTCAGCTGCCTGGTAAAGGCTTCCTCTAAGAGGGAAACCCTGCCACCTCCTGGTTGGTGCTGGGAAAGTGGAATTAAAGTTGCCATTGGAATATTTTGGGGAATATTTAAGGAATCAGGAACTGTCCTGCATGGAACTGTGATGTTCAACTCATAGTTTTATGCATTTTTCAAAACCTATAAAATTATACACCATAGCCAGAACCGGTTTGGCTAAGTGGATAGAGCGTCGGCCTGCGGACTCAAGGGTCCCGGGTTCGATTCCGGTCAAGGGCATGTACCTTGGTTGTGGGCACATCCCCAGTGGGGGGCGTGCAGGAGGCAGCTGATTGATGTTTCTCTCTCATCGATGTTTCTGGCTCTCTATCCCTCTCCCTTCCTCTCTGTAAAAAATCAATAAAATATATATTTAAAAAAAAATTAAAAAAATTATACACCATAAATTTTACTGTATGTCGTGTTTGTTTGTTGGTTTGTTTATTTTTTAAAGTAACCTGGGTATGGGAGGAAATGCAGACTGTGACAAATAAATCTAACTGAAGGGAATGGGAAGAAAGGAGCTGACCTTGATAAAACAGTGTATTGATTTTATACTGTAAGGTTGAAGACAAAAAGAACCCCATACAAACAAAGCCCCCTAGTTTGTAAATTTGTTTCTCTCAGAGTTCTCACTACTTTATTTGGGAACTAGGGATGAACTGACAAGTAAATAAATATATTGTAGATAATGAAAGTCAAGTTTCTAACATCAGAAAAAGAAGTGATAAATCAGGAAAGGGGAAGGATAGAATGAAACCTCTGGTGCCAGATGGAAATCAGAGGGATCAACATGGAATCATGCTTAGGTGGATTGATAAAAATATAGATAGAAAGTGTAGAGATGCATGAGTTGGTATACATATATATAGCTCTCCACTGAAAGTGGCTAAAGCAGTGATACCGCAGTAGCAATAAGCATACCTAGCACCCAGACCTGGTTTCTAAATATCAATAAAAGGAATCCTTGGAGAATTGATTGATTCTAGGACTGAGGCAGGGAAAATGTAAGGTGAGCCTGGATAGGCCTTGCCAGGTAGCTTAGTGGTTAGAGCATTGAAAGAGGGCTCCCAGACAACCAGGTATGATTCTAACGTAGGCTATGTATGTGGCTATGTATGTTTTCCCCTCCAAATATACAGCAGGAAAGACTATGTTGCCTCCATTTCACAGATGAAGATACTAAGGCTCCAGCAAAGTTGAGAATGGAACCTTGGTTTTTTTAACTCCTGTGTTTGGAGAAAAGAGCCTGGGGAGAGGGAAGGATTAGTTCCTGAGTATCTACTATATAAGCCAGGCTGTATGCTTGATTCTTGAGCCTTATTGTTTTATATATAATCTTTACAATAACCCATAAAAATAGCTTCATTAGCCCCTCTTTATTCTTCAGTAAATTTTATTTATTCTGAAGTTTTATTTATTCAGAGATGTGAAGAAATTTATCTATATGTACAGACAAAGCAGAAACAGGATTAGACCCAAACTTGTCTAATTCTGAAGTGCATAATCTAAGGGTACCAAGAATGACGTCTGCTTAGGAAAACGAACTTCCGGGCAGCCTTTCAGTTACCACGGTACTGAGTGTTGTTATGATTGGAGCCCTCACCTTTTGAGGCAACCAAACCTGCCCCAAGGACTTTCTACATTCTTCATAGTAATTTTTTTTTCAAGTAGGTATATTATAGCGAAGCTTGTTCTCGGCCCTAGCTGGTTTGACTCAGTGGATAGGGCGTTGGCCTGCGGACTGAAGGGTCCCAGGTTCGATTCCTGGGCACATGCCTGAGTTGTGGGCTCAATCCCCAGTGGGGACGTGCTGGAGGCAGCCAATCAATGATTCTCTCTCATCATTGATGTTTTTTTCTCTCTCTCCCTCTCCCTTCCTCTCTGAAATCAATAAAGAAATGTATTTTTTTTTTAAAATAGCTTGTTCTCATATGATGCCATTAGTTTATCCCCTTACTCCCTCCAAACCACCCTCCACAGTGGCCATCACGGATTTTTTGAAAATGTCAGCCTGACCTCATCCCTTTCCTGCATTCTGTCATCCTCAGGCTCCTCTGCTAAAGGGCATACTCTGAGCCTGGCATTCAAGGCTCTCTGTGATCTGGCCTCAGTTGCCTCTCCAGCCTCATCTCTTGCTACCCTTCTCTCTCTCTCCTCATCCATCCAGATTGAACCACTTGGAAATTCCCAGAAAGAGCACTCCATGCTTACTTGCAGCTTGCAGCTTTTCTGTGTGCTGTTCACTCAACTTGGAGACCTTTTCCCTGCCTGCATAAATCCTGATCATCTGTTAAGATTCAGTTTAGCAGTTGTCTTTTTTAGGAAGCTTTTCCAGGCACCAGAGGCTATCATTGCAAATTAAGGGTTTCTTCTCTGTACCCCCGTAAATAAGTGCTCCATCAATGATGATAGTAATAGTATTAGTAGTTGTAATTCTTAATGAGGTTAGTACTATTTAAAGGATGCTTTTTTACAGTTAGAAAATGCTAAATAGCCCTAGCTGGTTTGGCTCTATGGATAGAGCGTTGGCCTACAGACTGAAGGGTCCCGGTTCAATTCCGCTCAAGGGCACATGCCCAGGTGGCTGGTTCGATCTCCAGTAGGGGGCGTGCAGGAGGCAGCCAATCAATGATTCTCATCATTGATGTTTCTCTCTCTCTCTCCCTTCCTCTCTGAAATTAATAAAAATATATTTTGAAAAAAAGAAAATGCTAAGTAAGTTTTTCCTTTTGTTGAATCACCTGAGTGAAAAATCAATGGCAAGGGAACTCTACCGACTGCCTTCATAGGGAGGAACAATGAAAGTCAATATTCTGATTAATTTTTTTTAAAGTAAATAAAAAAATGCATTCTTCTCATTCAACAAATTAGACTCAAACTTACACTGGAAATAAAAAATATTTGAGAATGAAAATATTCTTTCTATTCCTCTCCTGAATTTACCAAAGTCTTCAGATGTGTCATCCTGATGGGATATTTGTAACTGTGGGACTATTAATAATGCAGTCAGGTTGGTTGAGCATATTGAATGTATAGAGGGTGTATAGTGTGTTCCCAGCACCTTGGAGCCCCAAAAGTATCTGCTATGAGGTAGCCTGGAATAAGAGTATGTGCTTTGACCGGAAAGACCTGTTTTAATCTTGGCTTCACTAATTACTACCCTGTGCTTTTGGCTAAAGAAGTTCTCTTTTCATGCCTAGACTTCTGTGGGCATGCTTCTCACTCTTGCTTATGTCTCCCTTCAGCAATCAGAGAAGATGGCATGCCTGGAGGCCGGAATAAGAGCATTGGGCCAGTCCAGGTGAGTTCTCGGTCACACTCTGTGATCCATCCTGGAAGCCCAGGGTTCCAGATGCTTACCTTGATCCTCTCATCTGCTACTGGGATTGTGGGTTCATATGGTAGTTCTATTTTTAATTTTTTTGAGAAACTGTATACCATTTTCCATAGTGGCCACATCATTTTTACATTCCCACCTTACAATGCACAAGGGTTCCAATTTTCCACATCCTATTCAGCATATATTTCCTGTTTTTTCTATCTTGATAGGTATGCCATGATATCTCATTGAGGTTTTGATTTGCATTTCAAATCATGTTGAACATCTTTTCATATACCTGTTGGCTGTTTGTATGTTTTCTTTGGAGAAATGTCTATTAAAGTCTTTTGACCATTTTTAAAAAAGGTTGTTGGTTTTTCTTTTTAATATTGAGTTGCAGGAATTCCCTGTGTATCTTGGATATTAACCCTTTATCAGCTATATGGCTTGCAAGTATTGTCTATCATTCTGTAGGTTGATTGTTCACTTTGTTGACGGTTTCCTTTATTTTGCTGAAGTATATTAGTTTGATGTAATCCCATTTACCTATTTTTGGTTTTGTTGATTGTGCTTTTGGTGTCATATTCAACTGGCCGGGTAGTTCATTTGGGTAGAGTGTCCTACCAATACGCCAAGGTTTCGGGTTCGATCATTGGTCAGGGTACTACAAGAATGCATAAGTAAGTGAAACCGATGTTTCTCTCTCTCTCCCCCCCCCCCCCTCCTCCCTCTCCTTCTCTCTCTCTCCTCCCCCTTCCTCCCTTCCTCTCTCAAATCAATTAAAAAGTATTGCCAAGAAGCTTTTTCTTTGTGCTTTTTTAGAAGTTTTATATTTTCAGGTCTTATATTTAAACCTTTAATTCACATTGAGCTGATTTTTATGTATGATGAGATTCTAATTTCATTCTTTTGCTTATGGCTATCCAGTCTACCCAACACCACTTGTGGAAGAGACTGTCCTTTTCCCATTGTGTAGTCTTGGCATCTTTGTCAAAGATCTTTGACCATATATGCATGGTTTATTTTGGGGCTCTTCTCTCTGTTCCCTTGGTCTATATGTCTGTCCTTATGCCAGTATCATACTGTTTTGATTACTATACCTTTGCAATATGTTTTGAAATGAGGAACTGTAAGGCCTCTAGCTATGTTGTTTGGGGTTCTTTGGACTTCCATAAGAATTTAAGATTGTTTTTTCTATTTCTGCAAAAAACACCATTGGGATTTTGATAGGGATTGCATGGAATCTAGTAAACCTCTCAGTCTATGAGCACAGGATGTCTTTTCATTTATTTATGTTTTTAATTTCTTTCAGCAGTGTGCAGGCTTTTCACCTCCTTAGTTAAGTTTATTCCTAAGTAGTTTATTCTTTTGATACTCTTGTGAGATTGTCTTCTTAATTTCCTTTTTGTTTATTCATTATTAGTGTAAAAGTACAACTGATTTTTGTATGTTGATTTTGTATCCTGCAACTTTGCTGAATTCTTTTATTAGTTCTAACAGGTTTTTGGTGGGATCTTTAGGGTTTTCTACCTAGAAGATAATGTTATCTGTAAACAGAGATAATTTTACTTCTTCCTTTCTAATTTAGATGTCTTTTATTTCTTTTTCTTGCCTAGTTGCCCTGCTAGGACTTCCAGTACTATGTTGAATAGAAATGTTAAGAGTGGGCATCCTTGCCTTGATCCTGATCTTAGAGGAAAAGCTTTCAGTTTTTTACCATTGTGTATGAGGTTAACTGTGGGCAAGTACCCTGTGTTGCTCTCCTTACACCTCCAAACTCTATTTAGAATCAAGGGAACTGATGTTAGAGAAACCTATTTCATCTGTCACTGCCTTTGACTTTTTGATACTGGGCATATAATTTTCCTTTTACTCTTTTACTGTTTCGAGGGTATGTTAGAAAGAGAGAGCTGTGATTTCCAAGTTCTTAACTGTGTTTAAGCATAATTAAAAATAAGGGATAGAATTTCCATTTATTGAGCTCCTGTTATGCACGCGCACTTTATAACTTATCTTAGATTAACCTCCCAAATCGATCTGACTCAAACCTACATATTTCTTTACCGCAGCACTCTGTGAGGGAACCCTGAGCTATGAGGAAGGTTGTATTATCTCTAGTATCTGCTAAAGAGGAGGGAGCTAAGGCTTAGAGAACTTAAGTGACTTGCCCAGCAGTAAGTCTAATTGCAGATGAAATTTGAACCCAGCTTCAAGCATTCCCAACATGTTCCATCCCCTGTTTAATGCATCAGTGATTTCCCAGTGTCCTATGGGAGAGTTGGGTGCAGGCTGACTTTGAATCTCAGCTGGAATAAGCTGATGTTACCAGGACTGGCCCTTTTTACCCAGCTCAAGTTATTCCATGCCCACCACACTCTGTTCTTGCTCTCACCACCATCACTGAGACTGCTTCAGTCTGGGCCTCAGTAGATATCTGTAGTTTGATGGCACCATCTGTCATCACATGTCTTAAAAAATGCAAACAGTGATTTCAGTGTTCTAAGGACCTTAAGAGGAAAGGTTTTGGGTTTGTGTGTGTGTGTGCAACATATGACTGAATAAAGAAAGACAACCCCTCCAATTCAATATGCAATCCAAGCCATTTGAGACCAATCACTCAACTTGTACACCAGTTAAATGTTACTTGTTTTCCCTCCAATTCCTGTGTGCTAGCTGTGCTTTCACTTCTAAATGCCACCTGTATTTATGAACAGCTCAACGTTTCCTTACAGGCTCCTGGAGCCAAGAATTATGTGGGTATGAGTTAGACAGACTTAGGAGACAGTGTCCTCCCATTCTTTTCATAGGAACAAGAAATAAAAATTCAGCTGGCCCTTCCTCTTTAGCACTTACTCTCCTTCTGCAGGCTGAGGTTAGCCAGTTAGGGTTAGACACTTTATATAAGTGTTTATCTACTCCCTTTATGGTGTAGCAGCTAAAGCACTGGACTGAATACTTGGATATTTTGGCCTCTTCCTCAAACTCCTGCCCAAGCATGGGCATGCCAGTGATCTTGGGCAAATCAATTCATTTATCTGAGCTTTCTTACTACGACTATCCACGTGAAGGTTTGTGGTCAGTACTTAATAAGTGAGCACTTGTTCAGTTACCCATCATGCATTTATTGAGTACTTAGTTATTGTTTTTAAAATCCTGTCATAGTCTCAGGTCTTGTAGAGGATATTTTTATGCCTCATTACCATAAATGCTATAAAATAACACTAATGATTAAGATATCATTGTCAGCCTTCCATAATTATTGCTATGGGCTAGGCCCTTTTCTAAACATGTGATCATGTATTAACTAATTTAATCTTCACATCAATCCTTTGAGATAGATACTATTATTCTCTCCACCATATATATGAAGGATTTTAGGTTCAAATAATTAAATGACTTGCCCAAGATTGTACAACTAGAAAGTGGCAGAAGTAGAAACTAGGTTAGAACAATGGTGGTCTGACTCTAGAATTCATACTCTTAATCATTATGCTATTTGAACCCTCTCTTAGAATGCATGGAATTATGAATGGACAGAAAAAGGACCTAAAATTTTGTCTAGGTGTAGTGATAGAAGAATTCACAAAGAAAGTGACATTTGAGTTGGGTCCTAAAGGGCAAATAATACTTTATTATTGAAGAGGGGCAATTCAGAGGTAGGAAAGAATAGACTCAGGACAAAGAGGAGTGATGAGGAACCTAGAGGCTTTATGGCTTGAGAGAGGTAAATAAGCAAGAGGAAGGCTATGGGGAACTATGGTGCTGGGAAGCAAGCAACCAGGCCATCCTAAATTAGTGATGAGCCTGGAGAATGGGGGTAGAGGGAAGTATGGGGGTATCTGCGTTTCTCTTTAGAAGGTTTGGGAATCCCCATGAAGTTGAAATAACTTCTCAGTCTTGAAGGAACAGAAGAAATCCTGAACACCCAATCTAACATGTATCAATTCCTTCTCAAAGATATCAGAGGAAGAGATTGAAAGGATCATGTCTGGGCAGGAATTTGAGGAAGAGGCCAATCACTGGAGCAACCATGGTGACAGCGACCACAGTTCCCCTGGGAACAGGGCTTCAGAGAGCAACCAGCCTTCACCAGGCTCTACTATGTCCTCCAGGTGAGCTTCATCCCAGCATCATCTAGAGATCACCCAGAGAATGGACTCACTAGGAGCCGTCTGTGCTGGGTCTTCCTGCCAGTCTGTCCCAGTCACTGTATCCTTACTTCCTCCGTCTTTTGGGGTAGGGCTCATCATTTCACAACCCATTTTTGCTAAGGACCTTGAAAATGTCAGGTCTCTCCTACAGACTGATAAATGCAACCTGGGTACATGCATTCTTTACCTAACAGTATAACATTTTAAATGTAGCTATTTTCTCTCATTTACTTTATCACTGAAATAAAACAAGCCACACTGAAGTTATAATTTCTCTGCCTCCGCAAGAGTGAAGCTTTTCACTTTATAAATTTTAAGAAATAGGGAAAACTTTTTAACCTAGTAAGACTTGCTGGAATACCAATTTGGCGACTTTTGGTTCAATAATGGTACCTTAAGTTAGTTGTTAGGTGTGAAATATAGCCATCAGCTACCAGAGAAGGCATTCTTTCCCCAGAAATCTCTCTTACAGAAAAGGGATCAACAAACTGTCTATAAAAGCCAGGCAGTAAATATTTTAGGCTTCTCAGGTCTACAGTCTGGGCTCAACTACTGAACTATGCCATCATAGTGCAAAAACAGCCAGAGACAGTATGTCAGTGAATGCGTGGCCGTGTGCCAATCAGACTTAATTTACCAAAACGGGCCATGGGCCATAGTGTGCTGATCCTGTTACAAGAGGTGCATCTAGGTAAAACTATAGGATTTTTAAAAATTGGTTGAGAGTGGCTATATTTCTCCAAAAACAGGTAAAAGAAAGATAAGAATCTGCCTTTCTCTTCATATTGTAACCTTTATTCATTCAGTTGTTCCTTAGTTTGTTCTTTCCTTTGAATGTTTGGGGAGTTGTTGCCACATGCCAGATTTGTTTGCTAAGTGCTGGCTTTGGTTTGTGGCCTGGCAAGGCATTAGCATGTCTCTTCAGTTTTCTTAGCAGCAAAAACCAAAATACTCACCTTTATCATCATAGTCTGTTGGTATCCATTAAAAAGTCTCTAACCGTGGCACCTGTATGAAGAATTCATTTAGCCAATATTTACTCAATATCTACTTTGCCAGGTCCTGGGTGTCCAGTGGTAACCCATACGTACACACACAGAGTCCCTGTCTAGTAGAGGACAGGTGCATGTAACCATTCATTATGTCCCCGGCTTGATGGAGACAGGCTGCATGGGCAAAGAACACCTGAGCCACCTTCTGGCTCATTCCCTTTAGGTAGGAAGTAGACCCTGCCAGCTTCTGACTAACATGAGACTTTTCTCTCCAGTAGGTCTGTGGAACTAAATGGATTCATGGCTTTCAGGGAGCAGTACATGGGGATGTCTGTGCCTCCACACTATCAATACATACCGCACCTTTTTAGCTATTCTGCCCACTCGCCACTTCTGCCCCCACAAGCTCGCAGCCTGGATCCCCAGTCATACAGTCTGATTCACCAGCTGGTGTCAGCTGAGGACCTGGAGCCATTGGGCACACCCATGTTGATCGAAGATGGGTGAGTGAGCCCTGCCTTCTTTAGCCCTTGCAGCTTCAAAATGCTCCCTACCCTACATCCACCTTCCTCCCTGGCTGCTTTGTCCCAGGCTTCAGAATATGTCAGGAATAGTGAGTGATGACTCGGTATTAGAGGGCAAATCTGTGCTTATCCTTGAAGTCAGTGGTCCCTCATTTTTCTCTTGAGCATCTTTTCTTATAGAATTGGGGCCATTTATCAATCCCTGGGGAATTAGGAATAAATGGCTTTTGTTTCTGCTTAGGCCTAGATAAGCCAGGCCCTGGAATGGGTCTGAGCACTTGAGCGAGAGATGAGCTATAATTCTGGGTATAATCATACATCAAGTCTAGGCTCCTTAGCCAGACACTGAAGGCACCAACTGGTTATAGCCTGTCCGCATCCCTAGCCAAAATACCCATGGAGCCTGGTGCCATGTGCTCTCTGCAGGCCTGGATGGATGGAAGAAAATACTCTTTCACTCCTCTGTCAGCTCTACCTGAGTGGATAATAGTTCAGCCTTTAGGCTATCCATTGCTGTTCCCATTGCTCCTTTGGCCTGGAGCATATGCTGTTTGAATATTTCCAAGCTTAGAAACCCTCCAGAAGGTATCCTGAGATTTCTTAAGCTAGTCTCTAATTTCAAAGAGGAAATTCAAGTCTCTCCCTAGAAGAAGGCCACACAAAAAATTTATAAATCTGGACGTGTGGGTGTGGGGAAGAGTCATGCCAAGGGGCCTTGAGAGAAAGCACACTGGGACCCCCGTGTCATCCGCCCAGAGCTGAGAAATGCCCTGCTCTTTCCCTCCTGCCTTAGCTTAGAAGGGCTGAGCAGCTCTGACTCTAGTGCAGTGGTTCTCAACCTTCCTAATGCCGCGACCCTTTAATACAGTTCCTCATGTTGTGGTGACCCCCAACCATAAAATTATTTTCGTTGCTACATAACTGTAATTTTGCTACTGTTATGAATCGTCATGTAAATATCTGATATGCAGGATGTATTTTCATTGTTACAAATTGAACATAATTAAAGCATAGTGATTAATCACAAAAATAATATGTAATTATATATGTGTTTTCCGATGGTCTTAGGCGACCCCTGTGAAAGGGTCGTTCGACCCCCAAAGGGGTCACGACCCACAGGTTGAGAACCACTGCTCTAGTGCCTGAACTCTCACCACCAGGGGGTGCAGTGAGAGCAGGAAAAGCTTCGGAACTTGTTCTGGTCTTTCTCAGCCATTTGGCACCAGGCTCATTTTTCTGCCAGACTGTATTAGGTGGGCACCAGATTCCTCTAATGGAGCTGGAGCCCTCATTACCAAAATAGTGCAGGAGTGACTGGGAATTTTCTCTAACACATGAAGCATTAGTAGACGCCAACATTAAAAGTCATAATCCCTGGTAACTGCACACATTTCTAAGCCTCCGTTCCCCCTCAGCAACCTTTTCTCACAAACCTGCCTCTCTGGCCCTGAGTTTGCTGCTGGCCCCAGTCCTGCCCCTTTATCAGACTGAATTGAATGGAGCTGGAGATTCACAGGAATAGGCAAGGAGCCCACTGCCAGAACCCCTTTGTGCCCTCTGTGCCCTAGGAGTTTCTTCTCCCTGTGCCCCCTTCCTCACCCTCTGGCCACTGGAAGTGACTTTCCCCTGTCTCTACACCTTAGATATGCTGTGACCCAGGCGGAGCTGTTTGCCCTGCTTTGCCGCCTGGCTGACGAGCTGCTCTTTAGGCAGATTGCCTGGATCAAGAAACTGCCTTTCTTCTGCGAGCTCTCAATCAAGGATTACACGTGCCTCCTGAGCTCTACATGGCAGGAATTAATTCTGCTGTCCTCCCTCACCGTTTACAGCAAGCAGATCTTTGGGGAGCTGGCTGATGTCACTGCCAAGTATTCACCCTCTGATGAAGAATTACACAGGTGAGGGCTGCTGGGGAGCAGTTCCCAAGCGACCAAACCATTGTCATCCCTACAAGGCAGTAGGCTTGCCTGGCGCTCCAAAGGATGAGCATTAAAGCCCTACTCTGCCACTGACCGGCTTTGTGACCTTAGTCAAGTCTCTGATCCTCAGGTCCTGAATTTATAGAATAGGATAATCATACAAATAACAAATGGGATAATAACAACCTCCCCACAAGGTAGTTCTGAGGAATAAATGATATTGTGCAGGAAAGCTTAGCAGAGTGCTAAGTTGTTATTTTTATCACATCTGGATTACTGAGGTAAGATCATGTATCTGGGAGAAACAAAAATCTAAACTTTGCTTATAAAGTGAGAGGCTCTGAGATATAATTTACAATCGGAGAGTGAGACCTACTGTGTGCCAGGCACTGGGCTTGGCACTTTATATGATTGTCTTCCGTGTTTGTCACAGCCTCCAGCATGATAGGTATGGTTATGCCTGTTTTATAGATGAGAAAACTAAACTTCAGAGAGACCTGCCCTTGAAGGTTTTGGGTTTGAATCCTGAGCCTGGATTTGAACCTGTGCCTATGCAAAGCTTAGGTTCTTTTACTGCATCTGAGATGCAGTGAGATGATAAGAGCATGGGACTGGGAGACTGTTGGTTCTCCTCAGTGTTTTCTAGCATAAAGTCTCATCCTAGCTAGCCAGGATTCTTCTAACCTCCCTGTGTAGAGCAGGTCTTTTACTTACTCTGGAGACCTGGATCACATGATGACACCCAAAATCAGGACAAGTGATCTGTTGGTACAACTTTCTGGCTTATTAGTTTATCCATATGAAAAATAAAGCTTAAAAAGACATGTTAATAATTTACCTTTATTGGACAATCCTCCTATATAATAAAACCCTAATATGCAAATCGACCGAACTGTGGAATGACAGGTTGCTATGATGCGCACTGACCATCAGGGGGCAGACACTCAATGCAGGAGCTGCCCCCTGGTGGTTAGTGCACTCCCACAGGGGGAGCACCGATCAGCCAGAAGCCAGGCTCACGACTGGCAAGCGCAGTGGCAGTGGCGGGAGCCTCTCCTGCCTCTGCTGCAGGCGGGCGGTGAGGAGCGAGGGTCCCCGGACTATGAGAGCCCCAGACTGCGAGAGGGCACAGGCCAAGGTGAGGGACCTCCTGCTCCACCACCCCCTACCCCCTGCCCAGTGCATGAATTTTGTGCACCGAGCCTCTAGTTTAAAATAATGGAAGTCATAGGATTCCAGAGCACCAAAAAAGAGGGAAGAAAAGATGTCCTCATCAATGAAAGCTGGAGAGAGTAGGGTTCCAGTCCCCACACTTTTCTACACAGGACTGGGGTGCACCTCCCTCTCAATCACATGGCAAAAAGACAAGCTGAGACTTAGGCTGGAAGCAAAGCTCCAACCCCCTCAAGCCCTGTGCACAGCAGAGGGAGGGAGTGTTGACTATCTTCCCTGTTTTCTAATATTTCCTTTTTAGTGATGCCTACTGGCTTCAGAATGATCTATAAATGGCATAGTTTTGAACCCAGCTGACACTTTGTCCTGTAAAAAGATACATCTGATTTTGAAAATGACCTAACCCCTTGTCTTGAGCCTCTAATTCATTGTTTCCAACAGATTCCTATCTCCTGCTCTGTAACTTGGGGCTGACTGAGTGTTTGGATAGCAGTTAGCCTGCTCTAATATATCAGGGTTTGCAGAGCTGGCCAAGCAAGCCCTGTCCCCTGTTTGTCTGGAATCCACCAGTGCATCCTGGGATTGTCTACAGAGTGAGTCTGTGGGTTCTGCTCCCTCTAGAGCAGTGGTTCTCAACCTTCCTAATGCCGCGACCCTTTAATACAGTTCCTCATGTTGTGGTGACCCCCAACCATAAAATTATTTTCGTTGCTACTTCATAACTGTAATTTTGCTACTGTTATGAATCGTCATGTAAATATCTGATATGCAGGATGTAATTTCATTGTTACAAATTGAACATAATTAAAGCATAGTGATTAATCACAAAAACAATATGTAATTATATATGTGTTTTCCGATGGTCTTAGGCGACCCCTGTGAAAGGGTCGTTCGACCCCCAAAGGGGTCGTGACCCACAGGTTGAGAACCGCTGCTCTAGAGTGATGGGTTTTCCTAGGCCTTCTGCTGGTAGGCAGGGATCACTGGTCATGCAGGGCTCTCTGTGGCTTTGAGTTTCATAAGGCACTCCATTCCACTGCATCCAATTCCTTATACCTCAAGAGCAAGGGAGGGGCCAGTGACAGCTGAGTTAGTGAGGAAATGTTTATTTCCTAGGAAGGCTCCTTACCAAGGAGAATCTAGAGCTACATTGTCCAGTAGTAGTAGCTGCTAATCTCAGGTGGCTTTTTAAACTGAAGTTAACTAAAATTAAAAAGTGAATTCTTTATTTTCACTCGTCACAGTTTCAAGTGCTCAATAGCCACATGTCGCCAGTGGCTATTATTTTGGAAAGTGCAGATATAGAATATTTTTGTCACCACGGAAAGTTCTGTTGAACAATGCTGACTCGAATACATGTTGCTGCTGATCTCTCAAGTGGGTTCAAGGATAAGAAATAGATTTGTTGTTATGATTCTTACTCAATTATGGAAGCCTTCAATGGAAAAAATTCGAGTTAAACTGCAACATGTTAGTTCTGATTCCACGCCCATTTACTGAGTACCTACTGTGTGTTGGGGGAGGAGTGTGGGAATTACAGATGATGCAGACGTGGTTTTGGACTCTGAGGTGAGAGCCCCTATTCTTGGTGTAGGGGGTTGGGAGACACAGAGCAGATACAGTCTATAATCTCGGGTGATACTGGCGGAGTTTGACGGGCAAGTGAAGATAGTGTACAAGCATAGACTAGGATTCCAGAGCACCAAGAAAGAGGGAAGAAAAGATATCCTCGTCAATGAAAGCTGGAGAGAGTTCCAGTTCCCACACTTTTCTACACAGGACTGGGGTGCACCTCCCTCCGGCACACTCAGTCACATGGCAAAAAGACAAGCCGAGACTTAGGCTGGAAGCAAAGATAGGAATCTGTAGGGAGTAAGTCCTCTACTTTATCAAAGAATGCTTCCAGGAGAAAAGACATTTGAGCTGCATCTTTAAGTGTGATTTTTCTTGGTAGATTATAGAGAATAGGAGGAAGGAGGACAGTAAAGCAAAGTCCTCTAAGTTGCGGTCCTGGATAGTTGCTTTGTTCAGGGAGCCAAAAGCAGTCCTGTGGATTAGGGTATAGAGAGAATGTATCTGAGCATAGAGTAATGAGGGAAGAAATGACTGGAAAGAAAGGTACAGAAAAGACAGGTCATAAAGATGCTCAAATGCCAATCTAAAGAATTTGGATTTTATTGTGTAAATGGTTAGTATTAAGTCATAGGATACTTTTTTTTTTTTAAGGCCACCAAAAATTTTGGTTGCCTCTCCCCCAGAAAAAAGTGGGAGAGAGAGAGAGAGTCATAGGGTACTTTTAAGTGGAGTAATTATGTGGTCAGGTTGCATTTTAGGAAGCTCTGTGACTGTAAAGCTCAGGATGGATTGGTATGGACAAGGCTATAGGACGGTGGCTGGGTGGGAGGCTGTTCCTTAGCCCAGGTAAAAGAAAGCAAGGCCTGGACAAGGCAGCAGGGACTATGGGAATAGTGCAGCACAGGGTCAGGAAATGGCAAAGAGGCAAAGTCAGTGGGACTTCAGTGAGCAAAAAAGTTGGGGATACTGCCAATCTCTTAGCCAAGATGGTGGAGCCTGAGCAGAACAGGCTGAGAGATGAGCCACTCTGAATTTGATTTGGGGTCTGTTGAATCTGAGATGCATGTGGAACTGCCCAAGCGGTCAGAGGAAATGGAGCCATGAGAACCTCTGGAATCAAGTTCATCACTGTAAAGCAGTCCCCTCTCTGCTAGAAACCCAGGGTGTGGCATCTATAATTGGCCATAGCTCTTTTCTACCTCGCCAGCTTCTACGCTATCCCACTCCCCCAAAATGCCTTTACTTTTGCACAACTTGAGTGCAAGTGAGTTCCTGCTGTCATGAAAAGGCTTTTCCCAGATGATGCATGACCACCTCCTTTTCTCTTCTCAAATATTGAATCAAATTTATGGTGCCCATTTTCCTTAATCAGGCTGTTATCAGACAGTGAGCCTGGGTGAATATGATTTAAAGCAGATTGTAGCACCAGCCAGTGACTGCTCCCGGCCCTAATCAAGACTCCTTCACTCTCACGAGAAGATGCCTTGCACGAGATGGGCCTTAATGGGCACTTGTATCTCAGGAGCACTAGTGGCCCCTCCCAGATTCCCTGCTCAGACCCTGGCTATAAGATTCAGGAAACACACGCTTTTCTTTTTGCTGCGATCATGGGAGCGCTGATGCTGATGCTATTAATAATGGTAATAGTTAAGAATTATAGGCTGTTGATTGTGCCAAATTCCATCTTACAAACATATTTTACAACATATTTTAGTCCTCACACCACCCTAAGAGGTTGCACCAATATTATTCCAGTTCCTCAGATGAGGTTCAGAGAGGTGAAAACTCAAGGCTAGGAAGCTAGAGAGAGCTGGAGTTGAGATTATTACCTAAATCTGTTGTGCTCCAAAGCCCAGGCTCTTTGCCATTACCATATACTAAGTTCATTAACCTTCTCAGTAGTGTGACACTCTGGGGTGTGTCCTGGAGCTACAGTCTTACTTTTGCTCCTGTAGTCTGTGTGGGTGCTCAGAGGCAGTTCCTCTAAGGTTGTGGCTGGTGACTGCTCCCGGGAGTTAGGTGCTTTTAGATGAATGAAAAAGAGACAGCTGGCCTCTCCACCCCTTAATGGGACATAACTTATATAGTGTCAGCTTCAATTGCTGACTGAATGGTCCAGTGGTTTGGGGGATCCTGACAGGAATGTTTTCCTTGTCCTCGCATGCTTGTGTAATGGGAACCCAGAAGAAGAATGGGTGTTTTTGTCCAACTTTCTGGCTTTGAATGCTGATAATTTGTAGACAGGGAATACAGGGGCGTTAGAACTGTGGAGTGGGCAGATGTGGAGGAGGCACGGCTGCAGGAGAAAGCCGGCCCATGAAACAGAGAACAATTTGTTTATCAAGGGGTGGGATGCGGGTGTGGAGGAAAGCTTTGCAGTCGGGCTGTGGATAGTGAGTGGGGGCTGCTGGGCTGGCTGCCATTCCCCACCACTGCTGCGGGTCCATGGTGGTAGCTGGTCCTAAGAAATTTGGAAAAGAGATATGTGCTTTCCCCAAGAGAAAGGGCAGAGCTGGGGCATATGCTCAGGCCAGACACTCAGGAGCTCCTTTGTGTCTCTTAGTTCAAGACTCGGCCAGGAACCAGGTTGGCGCTCCTGGCTAGGGGTCTGGCTGGTAGCCACACACCTGCAGGTGCTGTAGTGCCAGAGTGAGCCCTTGGGGCAAGAGGTTGCTGATTGAGGGCGAGTGTTATCTTTGCTTGCTACACTGCTCGGCCACCAGACAGATGCTGACACTGGTGCTCAGCCTACACCCCCCTTTTTTATACCCTACCCCATGCCATCCCTGCCTCACCCCTCCAAGCAGATACTAGAGGGAGTTTGCACTAAAGACCTTTTCCTCCCCAGAACAGAAGTAGTCAACCAAGTACTGTGATGAGGAGGGATCCTCACTCCTGGGCACAGTACATCACGGAAGCCCTGCAAGGCAGTTCTGGGTGGGGCCCTGCCTGAGTTCCTGTGGGAACACAGAGGGCCTGTGGTAGCCTTTTGTAGTTACCAGTTAAGAGCAAGGCAATCAGGGAGTAGAGAGTGTAGTGCTGAGAAAATGGCAGGTTTGGAATTAGAAAACTTGGGTTTAAACCTTGGCCCACCACCCCTTAGTTACTGTGTAACCTTGGGGAAGGTACCTCTCCTGCTTCTTCTCCCCAAACTTGAGGGAATATTACTTATCTCACAGGTTATCAGGAGGGTAAAATGTAAGAATGCAGTAATCTCTGATCCTTTGTTTCCACTGCGAACAAGGAAGATGTTAGCATCCATTTTGGGAATTTGTTGGGAATATCCACTGGAATAACATATGTAGACTATTTAACAAAGGGCCTGGCAAGTAGCAATCAATCAACAAATGGTACAGTGGTAGATACGCTTATTTACAGTGGTTATTCAATATACTAGTATTGAAAAAAATCCGCATTATTAACCGGTACACCTAGTAAATTTGCCTTATCAGCCAGTCTGGGAAAATATCATAAAGTCATAAAAGCCGTTGGGTCAGAGAGGAATGGAGTCAGCCGTCGAACTTCAGATCAGCAGACTGAAAGAAACACCAGCTCAGACTGACAAGGAGCCTAACCTCGAGGATGAGGGTCAGAGATCCGATTGGAAGGAGCTGCTGCTGCAGCTCCCCCTGGTGCTTGAGAAGTGCAGGTGCGGCTGGCCCCAACCAGAGCCAGGCTTTCCCCAGGGAAGAGAAATGGTCGGCTTGCCCCAGAAGCCAATCCCTTGCAAAGCCTACAAAGTCAATGCAGAAAGTAATAGTACATCCCCAGGTGTCCTGGACCCTTCCCAGTTAGGACCTTCTTGCCTGGCATGGGGCTGTATGATTTTGTTCAGTACCAGATCTGAACACAATTACCAGGAAGCAGCCTTAGGCTGAGCATCTCTGTGGCTGAGATGCATCTAAGACCTGTCTGGAATGCTCCTTGGCCCACAGTCCAGCCCACCCCTAGAAGGGTGGAGGCTGGCCTGACCCCAGCTTTCATAAACGCTGGCTTTCCCATTAAGCCTTCCCTTCCTTTGTTTGGTGATATTTCCATCTCTGTTATGAGACACTAGGGGCCCAGTGCACGAATTCGTGCACTAGTGGGGTTCCTCAGCCAACTCGCCCAGTCGCAGTCAGGGCTGGCTGGCAGGGGGAGGAACCGGGGGAGGTTGGTTGTGGGAGCACACTGACCACCAGGGGGGCAGCTCTTGCATTGAGCGTCTGCCCCCTGGTAGTCAGTGCGCGTCATAGTGACCGGTCGTAAAGGTCACTTAGGCATATCAATATATATATTTCCCTCTATGACCAGGGTATTAGTCCCCTATCCTGGCTCTCCTTTGCCTAAAACTTTGTCTTTCCTCAGGGAGCTTATGCTTAATGTAAAGAAAGGAGTTTTGAGTCTTCTCTGCTAGTGGATGTCACCTTAGATACCTGAAAAACCAAGGCCTTGGGAAATTGGTCCTGGTTCCAAGTTCTAGTTCTGCCACCACCTAGCTGCATGCTGTGGACCAGTCCCCTCTATTCTTTGAACTTCAGTTTCTTATCTGTACAGGGGTGATGATAATCTCATCTCACCTGTGGGCCTAAGAAAGTTAAATGAGATAATGCACACAAAGTGCTAGCCCAGAGACTGGCCTGGCACGGAGGCTCAGTTAACGCTTCCCTCCCTCCCTAGCTGAAGTCAAGGATGCCAGTAAAACATGTCACTGTGCATACCCTCAGCCCTGCTGGAAACAGTGAACCTACATTAATACAATCAGCAACTTTTTCTACATTGTGGCTGAGGCTCGCATAGACTCACAAGGCAGCTGCCACTAAAACTGAAGCTACATCTCAACAGTAGCAGTATATTAATGATGTCATATTTCTCCACACTTACATCCCAAACTCCATTGTCCCTTGTTATCTGAGCAGGCATGCAATATTGTACAGAGGAGGACCTCAAAGTTTAGAGGGGTCAAATTACTTTCTAAGGGTCAGAGCTTTTTTTTTTAATCCTCACCTGAGGATATGCTTTTATTGATTTTAGAGAGGCAGGGAGAGAGAAATATCAATGTGAGAGAGAAACATTATTGGTTGTTTGCCATACATGCCCCAACGAAGGATCAAACCTGCAACCTAGGTATGTGCCCTGACTAGGAATTGAATTCACAACCTTTTGGTGTACAGCAAGCATGTCAAACTCGCAGCCTGCCGGCCGCTTGCAGCCCACAACAAATATTTTTGTGGCCCAGCCAATATAACGATATATAAGAAACGTTTTAATAAAAATTTCATAACTTAATTTTTACAATATCGTTATACATAATTATTAATAATGAACTACAACATTCGCTAATGACTGATTACTAATAATCGTGTTGCATTCATTTTCCTTACGTGCCTTATGTGCAGGCACACCATTTCTCTCCACTAATACTAGCAGCCAATTGCCACGTCATTAGTCTTGTACTGACTTGTTTGGTGTGCACAACAGGAAATACTTCGCTTTCAGAGAACAAGAAAAATAGATTTATTTGTGTTATGCTTATTAATTTGTGCAGTTATTTAGTGTCTGGTAAGTTAATGTTCAAGAAAAAATATTAATTTTTATTAAAATGTTCTATTATTTTATGTTAACAATTATTTATTTCAGCCCTTTATATTCAGCATGTCTCTATCGAAATAAACCTACGTTTCTATGAAAATTGAAGCTTTTGTTTTTTTGTGGCCCACATAAACTTAAACCTTGTTTATTTGGCCATGTTAGCCTTTGAGTTTGACATGTTTGGTGTACAGGATGACGCTCCAAGTAACTGAGTCACCCGGCCAGGTCAAGGTCTCGTAGCTTTTACATGATAGAACTGGATTTAGATTTGATCAACCCTATCTGACTTTAGGAATAACAGCTTGTATGAGCTGCCTTGCGTGGCCTCTAGACAAACCAGGGATCCCCTGTTCTTCACTAATAGTTCTGGATTCCATTTCTCCCGAGCTCAGCCTCTTTCCTATGTCAGATGCCTTACAGAGCTGTCAGAAACCTGCCTTCCCTGGCCTGACCTCTGCTGGCATCAGAGCCCACTGTTAACACCTGTGTCTGTTCCCCAGATTCAGTGATGAAGGGATGGAGGTGATCGAGCGGCTCATCTACCTGTATCACAAGTTCCATCAGCTAAAGGTCAGCAATGAGGAGTATGCTTGCATGAAAGCAATTAACTTCTTAAATCAAGGTGAGTGCTTGAGTGTGGGAAGAAGGGGCTTTTTTTTTTTTTTTTGCCAGTGAACATTTTCCCTTACGTTTCATGCCCCCCTTTCCCCTCAGGACTGTCACACAGAATGTGACACCCCTTATGGGTACCAGTCTTAGAGGGCCTATCAGCATTGTGCCCCTCTATAGTGCAGGGCATGCTTTGGGTTTTTTCTTCAAACCTAAATGCCACAGTCTCTATAACTCATAGCTGAAGGAAGAGGATTCGCTTTGTTTAGTCATTTTCAATGCATTCAATGCAGACACCAAGGACAGTACATGCGTCATTTAAAATATGTACCAAGTTTGCCAGTAACTGAAGAAGAGCAGAGTGACTGATGAACCTATTGGAGATAAGGCCTCTGCGACAGGCTGGCACGCTTGAGTCCCCTTCAGGGCAGAGTGGGGTTCACCAAAGCTCACACACGCATATCAAGCATGGCTTTTAACTAGAAGTGTGCTGGATGTGATTAACGTGGAGTATTACCTGCTAAGTGTGGCTTGGTAGCTGCTGGTAACCAGAGTACAAAGGAGAATTTGTGTTCTCTTTTTTCCAAAGCGGCGTGCGAGTGCTCTGCTCTGAGTAGAGCTGGGCTCTTTTGCTGCCTATGACATTGAAGTGCTCTGTTCTGTAGTCAGTTGCCCCATCCAGAGATTCTCAGCCCTCCTCTTTGCTTACTTCCCCCCGCCCCCAACACCTCCTCCTGCTTCTGCACCATTCGTACATTGATCTGTGTGCCTCCCAGAGGCCAGGCCCTGTGGTGACCATTAAAGACATTGAAAAATAAAATAGATTCCAGGTTCCTGGCTTCAAGAATATACTCTGATGGCATGTGACACATTACTGGAGCCTCAGATTGGGGGAGAGAAGTAGTACCTACTTGGAGGAGGAGAATTCTAGTTGGGCCTCAAAGGCTGGGAAGGATTTATATGTAGAACTAGAGGCCCGGTGCACGAAATTCATGCACTCAGGGTTCGGGGGTCCCTCAGCCCAGCCTGCGCCCTCTCGCAGTCCGGGAGCCCAGCTTCTGGCTGAGCATCGCTCCCCCTGCAGGAGCGCACTGACCACCAGGGGGCAGCTCCTGCATTGAGTGTCTGCCCCCTGGTGATCGGTGTGCATCATAGCGACCAGTTGTTCTGCTCTTAGGGTCAATTTGCATATTACCCTTTTATTATATAGGATATCCATATATATTATATAGGATATCTATATATAAAAAAGGGGTTAGGTGTGTGTGTTTAAAGAAATGAGAGAGAACTCTATTTAGAGTAGTATGAGCAGAAACCCAGGAGACCATGTGAGTATATGTACAAGCATGAATGTCTAGGTGTCATCAAAGTTCCTGATTGGCTCCAGCAAAGGGCAAATTTAAAGATACTGTGAAGGATAAATTAGGAAAGGTAGATTGTCAGATAGTGAGTGGTTCAGCATCAACTGGTGCCTATTTGTGTCAAGCCCTGTACTGGGAAGCCAGGTATGAAGTTGAGAAAGATACCACTTAGTTCTCAGAGGGCTCAGTCTAGTGATTGTCCTGTATATTTTTTATTCTTTATCTGCTTCTCTCCCCTCATTTAGAACTTTGTTCCTCCATGTCAGAAAGAGAACAGATTCTCTATGTGGCAATGTTTAATAACTTCTAACTGAAATATGTATCTATTCAAGGAATTGGTATTTCCTCCACATTAGAAAACTCTCTCATATCCTGTGTGGTTCTCTTCCCAGATATCAGGGGTCTGACCAGTGCCTCACAGCTGGAACAGCTGAACAAGCGATACTGGTACATCTGCCAGGATTTCACTGAATATAAATACACACATCAGCCGAACCGCTTTCCTGACCTCATGATGTGCTTACCTGAGATTCGGTATATTGCAGGTAACATTCTGGGTGCTGGCTTTCCAACCCTTCCTTGCTTCTCTTAGCTTGTGAAGAGAATGAGACAAGCAGTGTTTTCAGATCCTCATTCCAGGCCCAAGACCAACTGCATAAAAGCAGTACTAGCCTTGCCCTCGGTTTCAGTCCGCGTTGTAATGAGAAGCGTGAGTTTTCTCTGTAGGGAGGAGGATCTAGCATTTCCTCACACCTATGCTGTGCAGGGTGCTTTGTGGCCTTTATCACTGAACCTCAGAACACGCTCTGCAAGGCTGGTGGTTGGCGATATTATGACTCGGAGATTCTCAAGTTAACTGTTTCTGGATTGTAAGCTGTGAAAGGGTGGATTTTAAGTGCATTAATTATATCTCGATTTTAAACATTAACTTTGTTTCATAGAATTGCCTATAGGTTTTTAGGGGATCATTCATTTAAAGCAATATCTTTAAAAGAATTTTCAAATCCTGTGTTTGTAAAGGAATTTTTGTTGGTGTTTTGTGGTCTTACCCTGCTGAGTTTGATATTTAAATAGGCCATTGAGCTGTAAAGACCTGGTTTTGGTTGTCATTGCTGCTCAGCTTCATTGGTAGAGATTGTTGTTTGTAGTCACCAGCACTGACTGGGGGTGCTCAGAAGTGGAGCTCTAGACAGAGCTTGCTCCTGTCACCTTCAGCAGTACCAGTTTGAAGGGAAAATTTTTCAGTTTGACATTATTCTACTTTTTTAGTAGAAATTATTCTATTTTTTGGGCCCAGAGTAATCTACAGATGTGAACTGGAGCTCAGCTGTTAGAATTTTAAGGATGTTTTGGTATTTATGTCTCAGCATTTTCAAAGTGATATTCTACCAAATGAGATATTCATCAGGCGCTCTCTTAAATAAACGGAGAGTAGTAATTACCCCCCTCCCCACAGAGCCGGCTTCTCAGCCCTGGCAGCACTTGGGCTCAGCGGTCAGCTTTTAGGACATACCCGAGCTTAGGTTACACCTCCAGAGAGCCTGATTCAGTGGGTATGAGGGGGCCTGGGCATCAGTATTTTTAACTCCTCAGGTGACTCTCGGTGCGTCCAGGAGAACCACAGCCCAATATTTATAGTGTACATTAGCACTCCGAGTGCTCTGAGAAGGACTCCAGTAAAGAAACCTGTAGGTCCTTTTTAACCCTAGATTTCTCAGTACTTTTACTAACCCATTATACTACTCTGAAGAGCAATTTTTATAGAATGATAGCGTCCATCAGGAAAAAAGAGAAAACAGGATATAAGTTTCTCGTGGTATTTTGGCTTTAAGAGGACATCTAGGAATCCCTCTCAGTTTCAGATTCCTCATCTGTAAAATAGGGATAAAAGGTAATATCTGTCGCACAGAAATAGCGTGAGAATTAAGTGAAATGATGCATTTAAACACCCAGCATAGAGTAAGTATTCCCTGGATAATAGCAATGATTATAACTTTCACCTCGGCCCTAAAATGGGCCTGGGTATCAGGATGTTAGCCAGTCTGTGTCTTTGTGATACTCCTTGTACTTTCCTTGCCTCAGTCACTCAAAAAGGCCACATCTGCTCTTCGCCCAACTCGAGGGACATGCTCTTCCACTAGCGGCCACTGCTAACTCTTCTCTTCCCACTTTGTCCCCAGGAAAAATGGTGAATGTGCCCTTGGAGCAGCTGCCCCTCCTCTTTAAGGTGGTGCTGCATTCCTGCAAGACAAGTGTGAGCAAGGAGTGAGCTGTTCCCGGCACCCCTCCTCAGGCCAGCCACAAAGCCTTGGGTGGGCGGGACAGGCTCCAGAAGAAAGAGCCAGAGAGACCAAGGTGGAGGCTACGGGGGCAGCAGCGTTCCCGTTGCCTCCATAGCAAGAAGAGTGTTTGTTTGTTTGTCTGTTTTTTTAAGCTCATTTTTCTATATATTTATTTCACGACAGAGTTGAATGTATGGCCTTCAACATGATGCACATGCTTTTGTGTGAATGCAGCCGATGCATTTCCTTGCAGTTTACAGAATGTGAAGATGTTTAATGTAACAGTGTTGTCATTGTTTAGAGATAGTTCTTTTGTAATTTGAGGGCGGGTGGGATGGGCTGAGATGACTATTTCCATAATGTTGACAAAGACGACTACCTCAGTGGAAAGGGAGGGGTGTGACCATGCCTCCTTTTTCCACGTGTTCTCAGCAGACTCGTGCATTTGTCTGTCAGAGAGCAAACTGCCTTTTTCTAGCCACAGAATTGCCAGGTGAAAGCACACACCATAAAAGGGCAAAGTGGTGCCAGGAGGTTCTCTGAGCAAAGTGGGGGCCCCAGGCAGGAGAGGAGGATGTAGAAAACATCTCTTTCCTTTGGAAAGCATGAAAATTGAGAGTGGGGCACAGCAACCAAATCTTAAGTTAGGTGTCCTCTCTCCACACAAGGCCTCAGGGAGAAGGGTTTCTGCTCTCACACCATGTTGTGGGGCCCCCTCCCCACCACCTGAACCACCACTGCCACTGCTGACCATCCAAGCAAAGTCCTGGCAATCACGTCATCCTTTGGACTTGCCTGCCAGCTCCGCTGGGACTCCCAGCTACCTAGCTTCCTTACCTGGATCTACCAAGGCCTACCTTCCTTCGACTCCTTGCCTCCCTTATACATTTGACTTCCTATTGGCCCTCTGAAAAAAACAGCTAAACAGAATGCCATGCTCTGAATTCTGGTGCCCACTACTGATGCATTTTCCTGTCACCTTGCTTTCTTCAAGGGGTAGTGGAACAAAGTTCAGACTGCTAAAAGAATAAACACTCCTCCTTTGGAGTGCTCTGTTTCTCCCCCTTTCCCACCCCAGGACTGAATCCCAAACCTGCAGTCTCTTTTTTCATCAGTGGAGGGCCATTCACCCACCAGAATTTTTGCCCTTACATTCCACTCCAAGTTCTTCTAATCTCCAGAATGAGACCAGGATTCCTAAACAGAAAGCCCAAGGCCCAGAGTGGCCCAGCTGACCAAGGCCTGGAGGGGAAGGGGGGCTTTAAACTACCTCATGTTCTTAAGGGCTGTCCCCTCCAGATTATGGCCTGGGCCCTTGTTCTTTCACTACCTGCCCCACCTGGTCCCAGGAAGTGTCCCTTCCCCTCTTGGCTTTGGCCAGCAGCCACCCCATAGCTGTTGGAACTCTTTCAGGTGCTTTTCTCTTCTCTGCCTTCCCACAGCAATTGTCCCTGCCTCCACCCAGGGACCTCGCACAGCTGATGCAGCAGACTGACTACTGAGAGGGGTGCATCCCTGGTGGGCTTGCAGGGCCTCCTGCACCTCCTTTTGCCTGTGTAGTCAAAGGCCATTTGCTCTCTTCCCAGCTCAGCCTCGCAAACTTGCCCGGTGGGCCACCACATCGTGTGCAGCCCGGGCAGTCTATGTCAGATTGTAATTTTTCTTTCCAGTGAAATGTTACGGGTACCCAGCAGAGGGATGACTTTGTCCTTTGATGGATCTAAAACTCAGAGCAGTACTCCTCAATGCCCTTTCCCTGACTGCTCTGAGAAAGAAAGATGTGTTCCTCTGGAAAAGCTCTGATCAGAATGTTTTCACATGTCAATGGGAAGATGTGTGTGTGTGTGTGTGTGTGTGTGTGTGTGTGTGTGTGTGTGTGTATCTGTTTATTTCTCAGTTCACAATATTTTTGTTTCCCCATGTTTTATTTAACCAACTAGATCACATTCTTTGGCTACAGGTCAGACTCTGAGCTGCTTTCGTCAACGTAAGGAGGAGACACATATCAGAGACCCCCCTTTTCCAAGATGGCTGCTGTGTGCAGCTTCTTTCTTTGCTTAGACCTCCATCTGTCAAGTTATTATTATTTTTTGAAATGGCTTTTCTTTAAAATTAAGCATTTTACCAGTTGGTTGGGTATCAAAGAAAATTGCTCTCTGATGAGGCAAGAACATGTCTCTCCAATAATGCAGCATTAAACAGAGCAAGTTGTTAATTTGTGGAGTGGGGGAAAGATTCTGCAAGTTGCCATTGTACAAATCCATTTTTACAAATGTTTGCAGCAGATTCCACAGAACAAAGAGCCCATTCATTGCCGAGCGCCCTGCAGAATCTCTGAGCCAAGTGGCCGTGTGTTCTGAGCCAGAGCCTGACCTGTGGACCGCCTTTAATGTCTTCTGCACCCAGTCCTTTTGTGACGTGGGCTTTTTTAAACAGGGTAAAATTAATGTGTTGCATTGCAAACTCAGGTATGATGAGGAGATGATAGGAGTGTAGCTAGCAGCGTGGAGACGTTAGGTCAGCCACTAAATGTATTTGTAAATTTGGTTTGAAGGACACAGAGAAAGGTTGGAGGGGCGGTTTGTTGTGTTTGTATTTTTGCCTTTCTTCCCATAATTTTTGGTTAATGGGTAGCCTTTTGCTAGTGGAAGAAGAAAAAGTTGTGTGTATGGTCTCTTAATTCCCCTCTCTTCTGTCCTCTCTCTGATCCCCTGCCACCAACAGCACTCATTTTAAGTGAGAATTTTTCCACCATAAAAATATGACCCTGAAAGCTGTGTGGTCAAGGAGAATCCCACCTCCTCGCACTGCATTGAAACACGGCTTTCCCCTTCCTTTCCCTTTCAATGTTTTCCTGACCCAAGACGAAATTTGGAATCTTGGAACTTCGCCTACAACTCCTGTTCTCTGGCTCCTTTGTAGGCTTTTGGAGACTTTCACAAGGTTTGGTGGTCTTGACTTTAGTCTCAAAGCACTCCACCTGGCTCAGAAGGACAGCCCCCGCCCCCATGCCCAGCCCAGGAGGGAGGTGGCTGAGCCTGTGGGGCTAGAAAGCAGCAGCAGGAACCTCCCTCCTGCTCTCGGAGCCGGAGGAGGGGGAGGGAACGAGGGGCTTCATGGCATGCAGACAGCCACCCACTCCACACCAGCCTGCTCTCACCTGCCACCCCCTTCTCAGGGAAGTGAGTGCCTGCCATGGCCACTGTGTCACCCGGTCCTTAAACCTGGGGCTCTCAGCTAGCTGCCTTGCTCTGCTACCTATTTCTTACTTTAGTTTGTTCTTGATTTCCTGGGGAGTGGGACAGATGGAGACAGACAGGCCCAGCGTGGGCAACATCTCCGCCATGTCCAAGGTTGGCCAAAGTAAAGGGACCCTGGCCTCCCAGTAGGGCAGGAAGGGGAGCAGTGGTTCCAAGTCTTTAGCTCTGGGCCCCTGGTCTATGTCTTTTTTCTTTGTTGCTTTTTAAAATTTTGCAGTTGCATTAAGAAATCCGCTCTTTCAGACCAGCTCTTTTATTTTCTTTATTGATTTTTTTAAAGTAAAAAAAAAAAAACACACAAAAAAACCCTCAAAAACAAAAAACTAAACAAAAAAAAACCACTACTCTTTCCCCAAATTGACCCATGAGTGTCCCCCTGCACCCCCCTCTGCCTTTGCAGTTGATCATTCCTCCCTTTTTCCTCGGCTTGAAGCATCTATGTCCAGTGTCTATGAAATGATGTTTTATCTGTGTCTCAGGTTGAGAAACGGCAATCATTCCACCAGATGCTGGAAACTGGTTAGCCTTGAGACAAGGGTTTCTAGGGCCACAGCTCAGGGATGTGTATTTAATTACAGGGTCCCCAGAAACCCCTCTCTTGGCTGCCACCAACAGCAGCTTTTCTGGACTTGGGAGCCAGGCGGGGACTGCTTCCTCAGAGGCAGGAGCCCCATGAGCATACTGAGTCGGAGCGAGCTGGGCTTGCTCTGGCTGTGCCTAGGCTATCTCGAGGCCTGAAGACTCTGGCTGTCCTGGAACACGAGCCACGGGGGCCCTGCTCTGCCCGTCCAGCCCCTGTCTGGCCTGCCCCCTCAGGATCTGCAGCCCTAAATGGGCCACAGCCCACTCAGGACTCAGCTGCAGGCTCAGGGAAGCTGTGAGTCAGGCCAGAGTCTGCTCCGAGCTCCAGAAAAAAGCTGTGTTTCTGGTGGAGGCTGGTCTGCCCAGTCCTGCAGCCAGCCTTGCCAGCATGGCCAATCTGTCACCAGGTCATTTCTGCCCTTGGGTGAGCATTGTTTTCTTTCTCTGAAATGTTTTATAAGGTGATAATGTTGTTGACTCAAGTTTCCATGAAAAAGAAAAAAAAATACTACCTCTTCAGTGACATCCTGGTGGATTCCTCTCCGAGAAGTCCTGTGGGAAACGAATACTGTAGCTCCTGCTCTGTTTACATGTTTCTGTCGGGAGAGAAACCCTGCCTGCCCTGGGGTGTTGGTGTTTTTGTCTGTGTTGCCATCCCAGGCCTGCGATAGGGGCTGTGGGTGCGTTGTAATGTCTGGGCCGAGTGTAGGGAGTCCTTCACACCTGCCCAGCTGGGACCAGCCACCTCTTGAAGAGGCCTCCGTTTCCTTTCTACGATCCAGGGCACAGGAAGCACCACCCTCCCGCCAGGCTCTGGTGGCACAGGCATCCACAAGCCGACCCTGGGCTACCTATCCCAGGGCCACCTCTACCCACAGTCCGTGTAGGAATCAAGTAAACGGGATGTCTCTGAGCCCTTGTCCCCAAAGGGCCGGCCAAGGGCTGCCTGCCAGCCTGGCTCCGTCAGCCCTGCATGACCAAATGATAGCCGGGCTCTGCAGGCTACTCAGGCCCTCTGCTACCTCCCCCCCTGCCAGCTGGCAAGGGATGGGCCTTTTTCTGTGAGTTGACTACCTGTGGAAATGTGACCAATTAGTGTGAAATGCATGTCTAGAAGATGTTAGGTACTGTATTTGAACGAATAAATGTGAATCCTGCACATGGCATCTGTCTGTGAAGCTTGTCTGGGGTTCTGGGGAGGGACGATGGGATGTCCCAAGAAGCTGGCTCACGCCTTCAGATCGAGTCCCTGCTTGTAGCTGACACCCACCCACTCCTATTGCTGAGGGTCTGGCAGGGGGATGTCGCTTAGAACTGCTTGAATTCAAGAACCAGCACTGACCCAGGTGCCTGCTCTGTGCCTGGCACTGTTGGGACTCTTCACAAACCTGAATCTCCTTGAACGTAAAGGATTAGCATCTGTTTTATAAGAAGCTAAGGTAAGTGAGGTGACGGGACTCATCTCAGGCCACCCAGCCAGAAAGTGGCACAACTAGAGGAACGGAGTCTCATGGGAGAGGCAAGCACAGCCCTTTGCAGTTTAGTGGGCTCAGGTGTGATCGAGGGTGATCGGGGGCTGTAATGGCCTCGCAGAGGGAGTGGTTCTGCTCAGAAGGGCTTCAGACGAGTATTGAAGGTGGGCCTTGAAGCAAGTCACCAGACAGAGGAGGCCCAGCTACGAATCAGAAAAATACGGACTATTCAGGTATAACAAGGGATTGCCGGCAGGAATGGTGGCAAATGGGAGGGATTAGCAAGAGTTGAGGCCGGAGAAGCCCCTGGGACATTGAATGCCACATTCAGGAGTCTGGGGAAGAGCTGCATCTCAGGCAGCAGTGTGCTGGTGAGCGGCCTGCCGGGTGTATCATGGAGGTCCACCAGTTAACGCATGTCCTGCCCGATAATAGATGAGGTTTTCCTAGAGCTGAGGAAATGGAGGCTTTGAGAGGTCATGGGATGTGCCCTGAGTCATACGGGAAGGGTCAGGGTCTGGACTTGAACCCAGATCTGCCAACTCGAAAGCCTGACTGTCCTGTAATCTTGCTGTTCCTACGATCAGAGAAGGGCCCACGCTTGGGCTGAGGGTTATAGGGAGACAAATGGGAAAGACAGAGGCTCCTCAGTTTGGGAAGATAAAGGCTGAGGAGTCTGATCAAAGCCTATTAAATCCTCATGTGTGAAATGAGGGGAAGCCCAGCTGCCTTCCCATGCCTCAGCCTCCTCCATCACAAGGGACCAGAGAGCCCTTGAGGTTTGAAAGGGGTGGTTTTAGAACAAAAGAAGCGCTGCAGAACTAATTAATAGACTGTTCTGTGCCCCATAGAGGGAACAGATAGGACAGGGATGCGAGGAGGAGCATGGCTGCTGGCCGGCTGTTGTGTGCCGGGCGCGGGCGCTTTACCTGCACTGTCTCCTGTAATGCTCAGAACCGCTTTGCAAGGGAAGCGCTCAGCCCCATTTCACTTGAAGCAAGTTGAGGCTCGAGGAAACGAAGCCATTGGCCTCGGATGACACGAGCACATGGCAGAATTGGCTTTTGAATCCAGGTCTATCTGATACCAAAGTTACAACAGGCTTCCTCCCTGCTCGGCCTTAGCAATTCAGTAGTGCTGAATATGAGTGTCTGAGGTTTGTAACAAAGCTCAGTAATGGCCTTTGGTTGAACTTTTTGCTATTAACCCAATAAACCAAACTTAAACAATAAAGGACTAATTTCTGTAAGAGGTGAAAGAACAGATCCGACGAAATTGATGTGAAAAGCAGGGCTGTCCCAGATATAAGTAGAATGCTATAGACGCCACAATCCCTGTGGTTTCTCAGAACATAACGACCCACAAGGTGGCCCCATGGGGAAAGAATAGGCATTCTGTTGCCAAAAATCTGGGAAATACTGCACCTACTCTTACCTTTCTCTAATTCCCAACTTTCGTTGGCATATTAAAGGCTCTGAGAAGTCCTACCTGAAGAAAATTAATTTGGGTCTACCCAGAAGTCTTTGGGCATGCGACATTTTTCCTGTTAAAATTGTTGGGACAGTATTCCATGGGATACAATTGAGGACGCTGCTCTAAACTTACAAATTGCTACTTAACTGATGCTGAGCTTGTGGGTTCCTTGAGTGCCAGGCAATAGTCTGGAAGTAAAGAATAATAACGGAATTTACATTCAGAGCAAGCAAAGCGCTGTGCTCGGCATTTCCTGTGCATTCAATTACTGATTCCTCAGAGCCATCCTATGAGGTTGGTGCTATAATGATCCAGTTCATAGATAAGGAAACCGAGGCCCAGAAATTGGTCTAAGGTTACAGAGCTTGTATGTAACCCCAGGAGTGAACATAAACCAGTACTGATTGAGTGCCTAACATTAGGCAGGATCTGTGCTGAGATCCTTCTCCATAAGCAAACCCCCTGAAGTATGATCATCTCTGTGTAACTCAAGAGGAGACAGCTTCGTCCAGGTTACGTAAGGCTGAAGCCAGGGCCCCCCAGAAGTGGTGGCCGGGGATGGTGTTGGGACCAGGGTGGGTGTGGCTCCCCGAGGCCCCCCCAGGGATCATTTCCCTCAGGCAGCTTGTGCGACAGCAGGCACATCAACCAGGAGTCTCCCCTCTCTTCTAATTCCAGCTCTTCCCCTCACCAGCTGTATGTGGCCTTGGCCCAGATAGATGACTCTCCGATCCTCACTTTCCCTGTCAGATAAATGGAAATGGTGGTGCCTGTGTCTTAAGGGTTTAAGGATTCACTGAGGCTGGTTCAAAGTTGGGGCTCAATGCAGCCAATCCATGAAAGGAAGCAGTGTGAGGGGAGCCACAGCCCCTCACACCCCAGTAGCAGACACCCAGCAGAGCCAGAAGCCCCCGCGCTAGCTTAGCTTGGCCTGGCTGCCCACCAGGAGTATAGCTCCACCTAGAATCAGCCTCTCTGAGATCCTGTGGCAAAAGTGCCCAACTGTCAGACCCAGGGCTCTTGGAGTCTTGTTCCCTTGGCAACAAGTCTCACCATGGAGACCACAGCCCCATCCTTGCCCTCCCTGCAAGCTCCCTCTCCACAGACCTTCCCTGTTCAACACCTAGTCCTAGAGCCGTGTAGGAACGGAGGGAAGCTCCAAGGAGGCCCTTCCTCAAGTGAGGAGTTTGACTAACAGCCAGCAAGAGAGGCAAAGGGAACTCCCATTTTTTAGGTCCAAGTGATGCCTGGCGAGGTTCTGAAGAGCCTACATATGTGATCTCATTTAGCTTAAAAGCCAGGCACTCACCCTATTTTGTATAAGTGGAAACCAAGGCTCAAGGAGACAAGATGGACCAGCCAGTCTCACGCTGGTCAGTGTTGGGGTGGAGACTGGTGTGCAGGGTTTCTGACTCGGGAACCCCTACTTTCTAACTCTCCGCCAGCCTCAGTCCGAGGACTGGAGAGTTGGGTGAATCCCTCCACCGCAGGCGTCGGCTGGTAGCACAGGCAGCAGCGAGCAGCCCTGTGAGGTTTGGACGGGGCCTGGCAGCAGCAGCCCTGGCAGAGGAACTGCACTATTTTAAGCCAGGGCCAGCGGGCCCCATGTGGGCACAGGGAGGGTGGCCTCGGGCCAGCTTCCCGGAAGTCGTCATGGCCTCCCTCCTCTCCCCTGAGCAGCTTTCGGAGGCAGTCACTTCCCAACAAACAGGAAGGAGGCCCTCAGGCCTGGAGACCTCCAGCCCCAGCTTCCTCCTCCTACCCTACCCCCCAGTCTTCTCTACTATACTGGGGAGGAGCCCCCCAGGCCCACACCCGGATCCATGTCCACTATCTGGGCTGACTTAGTAGGCTGGAGGTCTGGGGTCTGGGCTTCTGCTGCTTGGGCCGCCCCTTGCCCAGGCCCACAGCCTGATTTCTCACCTACATTCCCATTGAGGGAAGCCACTAGGGGCCAGAAGGAAGAGCAGAGATAGCCCCAGACTTGGTCCCATGCAAGGATGGGAGAGAGAGAGAGAGAAAGAGAGACTGAAACAAACAAGGTAGGACCTTCCCAGAGAAAGACAGGCAGACACAGTGAAAGACAGATTCATTGTGGCACAGACAAAATTAGAGAGATGCTCAGAGGCAAAAGCAGAGAGAGAAGCAAAGACACGGCTGCGAAGGGCTAGGGCCAAGAGGGCAGCGCGTGGCTCTGAGTGATTGCTCCTGACCACCCCCAAGTACAGGCCCTGTCTCAGCTGTGGGGGGCCCACCGGCTGCGTGGCCGGAGAGGAATGCGGGGAGCAAGGCTGGGTCACCCCTTGAGGGCCGAGCGCGTGCACTGTGAGATAAACCACCCCAGGAAGGGGGCCCAGCTGCGGCTGCCTGCTCCAGGAGCATGGCGGAGAGGCCCAGGCCCAAGGCTGCAGCCCAGCCCACCAGACACCCAGTCCCTGCATCTGCTCCTGAGGGTCTCCACCTGCTCTTATTCCAGAAGGTCCCGGGTACCTCAGCCCAGCCCTTGAGGCATGCAGGTTCTGCCAGTGTCCTGTTCACAGAAGAGCCAGCTGGGTCCCTGCTGCTGCTCTGGCTGCAGTCCTGGCTCAGGTGAGGGGCCGGGCTCACCAGCTGACCAGGCAGAGCAGGGCTCCGGCAGAGGAAAGCTGGGTGCAGCAGCTGTGCGCAGACTGGGCTGGCCCCGCGTGCACCCATGTGCACAAGTGTGGATTGCATGTGCATGAGTCCCTGTACTTCCTCACATGTGGGTGTGCAAAGATGTTTGTGTCCACAGGTTGCCAGGAGCCACACTCTGCCTCAAGTCCCTGCTCTCAGGCTAGAGAAGTCCCCAGAGGTACCTGGTCTCCCACCCCTACCAGGTGGTCCAGCCCAGGGAGCCATGAGGCAGAGGGGGAGGAGCAAGCAGGTCTATTGCCACCCCCTCCCCCGCCACCCCTCCCTACACCGCAGCTGAGGCTCCCGCTGGCCACGGCCTTGACCCGGCACTATGGACTTCTCTGACATTGGCATCGGATCTGAACATCTGGCAGCAGGCTGATAAGGGGTGCAGCGGAAACAGCCTCTGCTGCTGCCAGCAGCCCCACCCCCTCTGCTGCCCTGCGAGGGGGTCTCCACAGCCACACTCCCTGGGCTTCCAGCTCTGGGCCCTGCCCCTCTTTTCTCATTCTCTGCCTCAGTGTCTCTATGTCTCTGTCTCTCCCCCCGACCCCATTTC